ATCTGAAATAATTTGATCAATCAAATTTTAGTTCTCATAAATTTGCAAGTCCTGAACAAGCAATTTAAGTGCATGGTTCCTTAATAATCTCGACCATATCTTAACACCCAGGGTGTGAGAACTTTCAAGTGGTCGAGATTTTAACCAGCATGGTCAAGCAATTCACCATAATTGCAATATCAATCAACCAAATGATTTTTAAGACCATTTAAAAAAAATCGACCACATCAGGTTCTAGCAATCAAAGTCCATAGAGAATGATGCAAGCAACCTAGTACATTGGGTTCTATATGGTCATATGAACACTCAAACAAGCAAGGTTCACAGAACATTGTTATGCATAAGCATCCAAACAATCTATCTTATCATATGATCCGGTTTTTTTAAAAAAAATTAGTTAGAACCCAAAATATCCAATTTCGTCCTAGCATTAGATTTCTTATACAAAGAACATAACCACATGATCAAGCAAGCATGGAAAAAAATAAATAAAAACCAAGCATTGCTAGCATAAGAAATCGGATTCAAGGAATCATGTCTAGGGTTTTTAATTGTCCAGATTTTAACAATACATGTTCATGCGGTCATACAAGGTGCAAAACCCTAATATTATTCATTCATAACCTAACATCAGATTTCTTATTCACAATACTACCAGAGATCATGCATACATGAAAAACCAAGCATTGCAAATTATCAAGAAATCGGGTCCTTACAAGATCGGTTTTAGGGTTCCAATTGCATAACTTAACAATTCTTTTCAAGTTTGGTTCTAAAATAAATTTAGCAAAACAACCACATAGTCTCAGGCATCATACAAACCATATGTAAACTAGCAAGACATGTTAAAAGATGGTCGGATTTATTTTAGTGCAAGTCCTAAGCCAAATAGGATTATGAATGCAAATCCTAAACCTAATAGGATTATGATCAAACAAGGGTTTTCAAAAATTTTAAAAATTCCGAATCATGCAACCAAGCAAGTACACATTACAAGCAATCAACAGGTGCATAAGATCATGAAGTATCAAGCCAAGAACATCAGGATTTCAATTTTAGATTAGGGATCTAAGCAATTCGGATTTCAGATTCATGCGCATAGGGTTTTAACAAAACAATTCATTCAACCATGAAACCAATGAACCAAGCACTCGGTTTTAATTTTAAACACAACTAGATAGATCATATTATCATTCTAGAGCAAGCCTAGGTCGTGCAATTTATCAAAGATAGATCACGAAATTTAAACATCATAGATGCAGGATCATGCGCATAAAAGAACACAAGGGCTTTAGCAAAATTATCAATATGATTCAAACAACCTATGAATCTACCATTCAACCTCAGTGTTATTAACAATCAGATAGGTAATATTAACATGCTAAAACAAATCTTGAACCACGAAAATATCCAAGTTATAGCTAGAGATTAAGCAAGATCAGATTTAGGTTCATGTGCAAATTAGGGTTTAGGTTATACCAACTTTCTAAACCTCAGATCTAATTAATTCAATGATCAAACAAACACATAGTCCCAGGGTGATCAATTTCAGCAAGTGATTAATAGATCTAGTGCAGCAAAAACGAATTGGATCAATCAAAACAACCAATAACAAATCGATCCTAGAGAGAGACAAAACAAGCCGGTTTTATGTCNTCAATGATCAAACAAACACATAGTCCCAGGGTGATCAATTTCAGCAAGTGATTAATAGATCTAGTGCAGCAAAAACGAATTGGATCAATCAAAACAACCAATAACAAATCGATCCTAGAGAGAGACAAAACAAGCCGGTTTTATGTCTTAGCTATCTAGGGTTTTAGATTATCAATTTGCTCAAACTCAAAACACGAAACCTATCAAGGTGAATCCCTAAAACATTCAACATAAATAACTTGATAAAAAATAAGCAAGCAAACGGATCAAAGCAAGCAAAGATTTCGAGTTCAACAATTAGGGTTTTAGGTTAACTTTTGTTCATGAATACAAGTTTGTATTTATGTGCATAAGTTAGGCTCTTTAGGGGTTTAATTTTACTTCTCAAACATACCAAAACATTATAGTTTTAAGGGGGTCGAAACTTATGTTTAAGAGTTTAAGTTTCATACCTCAAATCTCCTTGTTTTTGAATGGACCTCCATTAGGGCAAAACCGGTTTGGATCTTTAGGAGAGAGAGAGATCGAATCACTTTAATCTTTTAGCTAAGGCTTTACACCTGCAAAAGAATAGTTAGCAAGGGATTTCTTCTTCAAAATAATGTAATAAATTAAGGAAGAAATAAGGTGAAAGTCGTTTGAGTAAGAGAGAAGTTTCTAGGGTTTCCCGGATTGGAAAAACAGAAATTTAGCCGCCGTATTGTTTTGGTGATTCCGGTTGATTCCGGTGTCTGATGGACGCGCCGTTTGATCTGCTGGATTCCTCTCTTCCAGAGCTTCAGTTTGGTATGTAGATCGTCGTCTGGGTACACGGGGTTTGGGAGATACGTCGCTTTGAAGTTGCTGCAGGGATTAGGGTTTTCTGCAGCCGCCAAGAGAGAGAGAGAGCTACGGGTTTTTGTGCTAGGGTAGAGCTCGTGCTGATAACGTGTTGTGAAATAAGAAGGTTTGTTGTAACTCTATATATCTTATTCATCACGTGCACATACATATATATACATACAAGAGAATAAGCATATTCCTTAGGAGATAAGGATTACAACAATAAAGGGGATGATTATCCTAATCCTATAATGATTAGGATAACTACAACATATGGATAAATACAAGGAGGATAAGTACAAGCTGCTGGCCGCCTGGTCTTGGTACTGAAGTGATACTGATGTGGTCTGGTCCATTTCCCGGATATGTCCCAACCACCATCTTCATTTCTTAACAGAAACGAATTTTTTCTCTCCTAGAATGACAATTAATTCGAAACGGAGGGAATAGTAATCATTTCAAAATTAGCGAACATTAATTATCTTACCAAAGATTCTTAAAAAGTCGACAGTAACTTATTAAGATTAATATTATTAATCGGTAGGTTTATTCTCTAGGCTAGCAGCCCACATACAATATGCATAGCCTAACTGTCTAAGAAAACAAAATATTCTCAATTTTTTTACCAAAAAAAATATTATCAATTGTTATCCAATCAATTAAAAATCATAACTAAAATAACACCATCCAATTGATATTCTCCAACAAATTATATATATACTTGTGATTTTATTTAATTAAAATGGTATATTACCTCCTATTTCTTTTAATGTCTTATTAATTATGCATTACATCATGATTGACGGTCGTATAGACGATTGACGGCTGCCAATTTCTACTGCCGTATTTCAAAACTCAAAATATTACGATATAAGGATAATATAAAATTAACATTTAAAAAAAGTAAATCCTTATTGTATTATTATTTTTATCTTTCTTAAAAAATACATTTACTACAAAAAAATTATAAGGACTTAAAATATATAATAAGAAACAAAACAAAATGAAACAATATTTATTGTTTAAGACAATAATTAAATTAATTCGATCAAATCCACTATACAATTTTAACTTCAAAATACATATTAAACAAACGTTCAACACTCGCAGTTTTAAAAAAAATCTCTTAAATCATATTAAAATAATTAGATAATATAAAAGTAAGTATAATACCCGTGCGGGCGCACAGGTCAAAATCTAGTATGGCTTAAAGTTGGTGTTATAACCGAAATGAATCTTACGAATATAGTGGTCTTTTGTAAAGATATAAAAAAAAAGGAATATTCCAAAAAGTTTTGACATTTATTGGTCAACGCTGCATGAAAACATCTGCAGGAGATGATCCACTTAGTGATCCTAAAACAACGAGCTACGTAAATGGAAAAATCAGATGAAGGACTCAAAACGATTATAAATGAAGCAATTTACAGCAACGAAACACGGAGAAATGATCCCATAGCTTCAAAGATTCGATGAGCCTCTGCCTGAGCTTCATACCTCACAAGAGTTCTGCCACAAATAGAGACCAAACACAGTTTATGAGATGGGTCACACTTTTGTTCCTCTGTAGTAGGAATTCATTATTACCATGTAGCATTACTATGCGCGACCCCTGGAGTAATCCATGTTGAAAAGCATGTTCCTGCGGTTCTCTGATCCCATCCTTATTTGAAACTTCTTGGCCAATGACTCCACCTTCTCATCGTTTTCGTTGTCTAGTTCCCTGATACATCGCCTTCTCAGTTTCTTCAATGTCTCCTTGGAAGGTTCAAATCCAGCTTTGATCTGTTAATTCCAAAAAGCATATATTAGTATCTCATCTCCACGTAAACAGCACACACATCTTTCTCTCATAGCGGTTCGGTTTTACCATGTCATCAATGACGGACAGAGCTGATTTGGCATCCCGGTTAATGAGATGAGCATCAACCAGTAATGAAAACGTCCGGGAATCAGGTTTAACACCTTCCCCAACCAGATGAGAGTACACTCTTGTAGCCTCGGGAGTCTGCAAAGCAAACAAGCTCTTGTTCATCCAAGGAAATAAAAATATCAAAGAGAAAGAGAGAGAGTGATCATGACATGGAAACATCACCTTCTTGACTTTTCCAAATGCATATATCAAAGCATTGTACGAATCAATATTAGGAGTCAGACCAAAAGAAGCACTTATTGCATCAAACGTCTGGTAAGCACGATCAAGATCCCATGTGTTTGCGCAGCCAAGAACTATACAGTTTAGAGCAGCAACAGACTTATATGGAGTATCACCTTTACTCAGTGTCTCCAGCTGGAAGTATACCTGGAGTATCATGTAACATTGCAAGGTCAGTTAGCCAAAGAATGTGCAAGAATATCGACCCTTAAGAAGATGTCTGAGGTATATACCTCATCCAATGTCTCAAAACCTTTCTTAGAGCAGGCCACAACCAGCGGGTTTAACGATGTAAAAGGTGAAAGCATTTCCTCCTTAACTTCTTTTTCAGCGTCAGCATATGCGGTTTCAAACTCATGAAGTGCGATGAAAGCTTTCTGCAGGTTCCCCAACGATGCATAAGCATTTATCTTTGCAATGTATGTCGCAGGGTTGGCTGCCTTTTTCCCACGCAGGCTCCGTTTCAGAATCATCCATGATCCATCTACTAAAGTTGGATAACAAGTCCTAGCAGCAGTTGCGAGAGCTGATACCACCAACCCTTCATCAACAGAGAGTAAAACCGCGGGCCTAGCCATTTCTCCCCTGTTGATCCAATTGTACATGAACTCAAACGCATAGAATGCTAGTTTGCTATTATCCTCTTGAGCTGCAACTTCTGCCATGTATGTACACAGTATCCAGCTAGGGCATAATGACTTGTTCCGATCAAGAGACTATAGAAACAAAAAGAAGACAAAATGAGGCAAAAGATTTAAATATCATCAACCTAAGACAAACAGGAAAGAACTATGTTAGTACCTTACACCTCTCGATGATGGAGACAAGTGTATCTGTCCTACCTTTAGCTACACAGCTACGCACACATTCGCTAAAAACCGTGGTGGATAACATGTAACCAGATTTTAATGCGATGTCCAGAAGCTGCATGGCTTTGTCATTCTCCCCATTGGAAAACATCATTCCAATAACCAAATCATATGATTCATCATCCGGACGAGATTCATCCTTCCCTGACATCAGCATCCTGATGATACATAAAAAACAAACAATGTTCAAGAAAAGCTAGGCAGTTACTAAACGATTTATATAAGCCAATTAGCCAAGCAACTAAGCTGATTATACATGGTCTAGGAGAAGACGAGGTATTAACGAATTATTTTTATTTATTATGTATTTATACTAGATTTTTTTTTTTTTAAAACTTTTTAGGTTTAATCATAAAATTATTTTGATGAGTTATAAAAATTAGGTATATGAAAAATGAAATCTGACAAACTTGTAAACTTACACTAACACTTTTACTTGATTTACCCGATTTACACCAATTTAGATCGAATTAGACCAACTTAAATCGAGTGTAACCGACTTAGAACGACTTCAACCTAATATGAGCTGCTTAAATCGAATTGAAAAACAAAAAATCATTTCGGCTATGACAAGAACGATTTATAGAACACTGTATAAACACATTACCATAGCACTGACGACTGCTTTCAAAGATAACCCTCTCGATCTATAATATAAATTTCAAAGCTTTTGCACAAGTTGATTAACTCTTACTCACTGAACAGTAATTAAGCAGCAAAACAAAAGGGATAATTGGATCTAACCGGCTAAGCAGCTTCTCCGCAACCTCAGTCTCTTTAGCCTGATGCATAGCCTTCAAAACTAGATTATACGACGCCGTATTCGGCTCCACAGAGAAATCATCCATCAACGCAACCAGATCGAGCATATCACTAGGAGAAGCGCCCATCATCAAATTAGCCCTAAGGTAATGATTGTAAAGGTCAACATCCGGCTTGTTCGGTTTCCCGTTCTTGTCTAGAGACCGAACCCAAAACTCGAAAAGCTGCTTCATGTCGGACCAACGCTGCGAGGCCGTCCAATCCGCGAACATGTTGAGGAGCGAGTTCATGTCTAAGGTCTCGGAGAGAGCTCTGATGCGAGATGAAGGAGCTTGGTTTAGGAATCCCATAGGGACTAGGGATTGGGTGAAGGAGGGAGAGTTTGGGATTGGACTACGCCAGTTTTCTTGGTAGAGAGGACTTCCTGTTGCTGGATTCGGAGGAAGGGTCGTGGCGGATCCTCCTGTCGGGTCGTGATGATCGGTTGATTCGGTTGTTGCGAGTTGGGGATCTTGGGAGAGGAATGGTGTACCGGAAATGGTTCTGATGTGGGGATTGGGTTTGAGGGTTCTCAGGAGAGAGATCCGGTGACGGATAAAGAGATGAGAAGACATTGTCGGAAGGGGATCTAAGTTGGAGGTGGAGTTTGTGTAATAGAGGTTTATTGTTTTAGGGTTTTCTAAGTTTCAGATGAGTTTGAGAAACTTTTCTTGTCGTGACGATCAGTTTCTGTGAGGGTCAATTTTCAGGAGTTTTAGAAACGGGTTAGATCCCATGATATAAAGCCCGGCCCATTAATTGTTTCACTTAAACCACCACATGTATTTTATTTAATTTTTTTTTGGTATGGCTAAATTAGTTTTAGACATTTGATTCTATAAGTTATAGTTACTTTACAAAAATGTGTGTTCATCTTAATTTTTTTTAAAATGAAACTATACTGAAGTTTCAATAATATTGTAATTTCTTCGATATAAATTATAAATATTAAAAAGAAATTGAAATAAAATATATAGTATTCAGTGGATTTAAAACTATATGTGTATGTATTGATCACTAATTCAAAATCCATTAGAAGTTTTAATTCCCATAACAACATGATTTTACTTTAAATGTGAATCATCAATTGTAAATGAGAAATCTTCTTAATAGTTGTGATGGAAAATAGAAAATATATACAATATTTATATTTTTTTTTGACATACATACAGTATTTATATTAAAATAAATAATGCGACATTTATAAGAAAATTATAACACAAAAGTTTACATTTGTTTTTTAAAACAGTTTTAGAAAAATTCAATACATGATTAGGAATAATGAAACAATCATTTACCATATATCCATTGATTACAAAGCCAGAAAATAGCTAATAAGTTAAAATAATTTTAAAATAAATTTATAAAACTAAACATGATTAGTTTGATTGACTAATTTTAAATTCATATATATTATTGTTTGAACTATAAAACTGTAAATCACTAGTAATTTTTTGCAATTATACTATTGTTTGCACAATAAACCTTTAAATCATCATTTTTGTATTAAGTGTAACATTTGTGCAAGGTGGTGCATTACGGAGTAGAAGTTATAGGCTAGTTGTTTTGATTTTCTTAATGAATTCTCCTCAGTTATGATTAAATGAGATTTTCATAGATAAACATAATTTAGTCAGATTTTGAACTTGAATATAATGTTCATATATATTCCAAATAGATAATTGTAAGGAATAATTATCTATTTGAAGAGTAGGATTGATTATTGGATTTACATCCTAACTACAATCTATTGTGGGGATTTTTTTAACAAGAGAAAAATACAAATACGAGGATTCAGATGGATTAGACGGTTCGGGGCGTGTGGAGGCATCTTCTCCCCTCAAAGTGTTTTTGTAAGCATTTGGTTTCTTAATACAATTGTAGATTTTTTTTTGGTTTCAGTAAACTAATATTTTGATTGATAATATTGTATGTAATAGGATTGAATTCATAGAAAAATCTGTTGAAGACAAATTTTTTTAAGTGACCAATAAATCTGGCGAGGTGTTACTAGGCGAACATCTTGACATTCGGGAGAAGATGACTAGTAATCACAAGATTTTGTTTAAAGACAAGGCCGAAGAGAACATAGGAAAGTATGATGATGATCTTTCAAAAGCACCACAGCAACTAAACCACTTGTTTGGTTTGTTCTGATGCCATTGAAAATCTGAATTTCTTGTTTGTTTCATTATTGAAACTTATGGATTCCTAAAACGTTATCTGTAATCATTGCTTAACTCTATTTCATTTCCTAAAACTTCATCTGAAACCTTTGCTTAATTTTGTTTCAAGTTTATATTTAAAATTATGGTTCTTTTTGTTATCTTATTTTGAAATGTAAGTATTTCTTTTTTTGTTGTCAGAGAGTATTTACATATAAAGATTTTAAGGTGAATAAGAAATTGGTTTCATTTCATCCTTGTATCCACTGAAAGGTTACACATCTTATATATAACATAATTAGTTAAATAGGTCCAAAAAAATAAAAATATCACATAATTTTTTTGTAACTGAATAACTCATTAAAAACGAAATTGAACTAGACCTAAAACGTAACCCAACCCAAGAGATTCATTACACCAAAAAACACATGAAGGGTCTTTTTGCGGAAGATGAGAGAAAGAGATGGTCGTAAAACCAGAGGAGATCACTCGGAGATCATTAAGATGATTTCTTTAGACTGGGCTTTACCGTTAATAGCTCTAACGAGCGTTTAGTTGTTGGAGAGAATATTTAGGGCTTGAAATCCCAAAGTTATCGCCATGGAAAAGGCCGAACACATCGCCAAGGCTTCTGCAAGGAGTAGTGAGTTGACGAAGGGCACACTCTCGTGATTTTCTAACTATTCCAAATCCTAATATTACAAGCTATTCTGGTGTAGAATTCAATAAAAAGTCCTAGCAATCGTAACAGATTCAATTTGACATTAAGCTCATGAAATCTCTAAATCTAACATGATGATTACTCAGACGTGATAAAAGAAACACAATGCATAATCTGAATAAATAGATACAAAACCAAAGATAAAACCAAAGGAGTTCCAACCAATCTCTAAAGGAGATTTATCTTCTCTTTAACCCTAAACAATATTAATGATGTAAAGGATAGCTGTCAACAATGGCTTTGAAAACACATAAATAATTAAAGTCGTCCAGAGGCATTCTGGTAATTTATGGTGGCTTCAGGGTTTAATTCGGTCATAAAATACACTTGGCCCACGTTCTGACATCACCATCGATCGACACTAAGGATTTGACATCGATCAATGCTCCTTCGTCTCCTTGGTAGCCTCAGCTCGCGAGGCCAACATGCCACTCATCAGTAAAACATTTATAACTTATGATCTAACCGTTGGATTAACCTTTAACCGATGGCATTGGAAAGCTAACTCAAAGCTATAGTTTTTGTCAATAGATCAACTCAATCTCAACGTGGAAAGATCTCCATACATAACTAAACATCTAACGCATCTGTGCAGTTTTGCATCTCACAAATCTCCAGAACCACCAAAGTTCTCTAAAACATACTTGAACCTGAAAATAATCTAACACATACTCCAAACACATATAATATATTATAAATAGGTTATTTTACCATGGATGAAAACATGTAAAATCCATGGTATATCAATGATGTTGGGTCAAGTGCTTCACGCCGATCCATAGGATCTAGAGCTTGGTATGATATGTAATCTCGGTTTTAAAATTTCTCCAACGGTATTAGTAAGCGTTTTCGTATCATTGAGGTTTAATTTAGGGGTTAAATAATTTTCTTAAATAAATTTATGTGTGTTTTGATGATAGTTTTAAAATATATTTTACTTTTGGATTAATAAGAATTTTCATTTTGTTAATTTAAAAAGCCAAAACCAAAATGTAAAACAACCATGCAAGTTTAAAAAAAAAAAATCTACTGCAAAATCAAAAACCAAAATTTAAAAATAAAAATTTAAAAACCAAAAACTAAAAAGAAACAAACAAAAAGCTAAAAACTAGGAAAACAATCATCACTATAGTTTTTGGTTTTTGCTAGGAAGTAGAGAGTCATTTCAAAATCTGGGTTCCCAATGATTTACGAAATCTTTTTGCAAAAATATTGATTGATAAAAAAATAGTTTTTTAGAAAATCAAAAATCAAAAACCATCGTAAAACTACATGCTATTAAAATTGAAGTACATTTTTGAATTAATCATTAATTTCCTCTATAATTACAAGTGAATGCCACTGAACTATATTAAATATTAAACATTTTAATTATCTACAATATCTTGAAGAGATCTTTAGAAGATTTGAACAAACAATATTCATTAAATAACCAAATATTAATATCTTATAAGTTTTAAATTACCTAATATAGTTTTATATATGATTTGAATTAAATAGTTTATTTTCCAATTTGTACATGTGATACTATGAAGGATATTTTTCTACTTCGATTTTCTGTATAAATATATATTATTATCTTAATTAATATAGATAGTTGGATTTTATATATGATTATTAAAAAAATAATTATAATATTTAACTATGAAAACTCAATTAATTAAATTCAAACAAATGAACAACACAACAAAAAATATTTTTTATAATATGGGAATAGCTTTGAAATTATATATTATACTATATATAATATTATTAAATTCTATTTTGCACTGTCCAAAATAAGTTTCACTTTTAATTCTTAAATAAAAATAGAAAATATTTTTATAATTCCAATAAAACAGAAAATAAAATTTTAAATGATTTATCATATAACTTTAATTGGAAGAAAAAAAATAAATATATCACATATTAATATTTTATTAAGATCACATATTATGAATATGATTTCTTATAAAAAAATAAAATTAGGAAATAAATACAGTTTTGTTATAAATTGTCTACCATAATTAATTCGGAATTAAAAACACAGGTCACAATCTTTTTATTTTTAAAGTGAGATGTATATACAAAAATTCATTGTTAAAACGTGGATAACTGTTCACCACGATAATTCATTTCAAAAAAAAAAAAACTCAGTTAGCTTTATAGTAGGAGAAAATCATTTTGATTTTGAAATTGATAATCTAAATCAGAATTGTATAAGAGTAATGAATTTTTTTTATAATAAAAAATGCATATCATTTTTGTTACTTTTTTATTAGATTATAAAAAAAATCTCACACTGCATATCATCTTTGATATTTTTGTATTAGATTATAACAAAAAAAAATCTCACGTTTTTAAAGCGCGGATCAAAATCTAGTTTTTATTTAATTTATCTGTGATTTGTTTTGTTTCAAAGAAATATGGATATCCAACTTTTTTTTGATATTGCGAATATTTATAGATAACTCATCTACTTTGTTTAATAAAAATAAATCTAGAAAAACTATACAAAGTTTTTTTCAAAAAATAGTTTTACACAATACAAAATGAAAAATAGAAATTAATGAAACTATATGCTCCATAAATTTTTTAAATCAATCAAATTTTCTTATAAAACACAAATTTTAGAAAATTGTAGTTTCTGCTTATTTTATAAGTACAATTTTAAATAAAATTGAGAAAATGATATGCTAAAATAATAATTATACAAAATATACGTGTAAATCTTTATTTATTTGTAAATATACATCTACTTTTATAATGTCGGAGCAGATCGAATATCCGGCTCAAAATTTTAAATACTTGTGATTTGTTTTATTTTTTAAAAAATATTAACTTTTAGTATTTGTTTTACTTTGACGACTTATGGATATCCAAAATTTTCATCATAAATCAAAACAAATTACGAATCGAATCAATTTTAACGAATAAATTATCTTGTCCTAATTACTATGTAGTCATCTTGTCAAGCATTTGTAATCCACTGATCAAAAGGGAAATTAGGCCAAATATACAAATACACTAAGTAGCTAAAATTATCTCTTCTCACCTCTTTTCTCTTCGTATTTCTCTCTTTCACTCTCTCTAAAAAACTAATTATATATATTTTGTTGGTTACCCTTTGATCAAATTCAAAGTTTTCGATAAAGATCATAAACTATAAACATTTTTGTCGTTTTAAATTTTGTTTTGACCACACACAAAAAAGATTCAAATCTTTATCAGTTTCGTATACGATTACGAAAGCGTCCTTAATATATGGTTGGCTTTTGAAAGATTCTCTCTCTCGCTCTTTAGTTATAAAAGGGACAAAAAAAGATTCTGTCTTTTCTTAGGTGTAGGATCAAACAGAGTTTGTAAGAAAGCAGAGTTCTTCTGTACCAGAATAGTTTTCTTAGAAGAAACGAAAGTGTTGAGTTTCTTCGAACTCAGCATTCCATCTAAGTTGACCTGTTTCGTTCTATCTGTAGAAAGGTAAAAACTTTCATCTCTGCTTTTTCAGAGTCAGCGCTGGATTCTTGTTTGCGTTTTGAATATTTCAACGAATTAGTCTTTTCGGGATCAAGAATCTGATTGATACGTTATCCATGGGCAAAAAGAATCAGACACCCATCTTTCTAAATTTCAAATCTTTTTTTTCTGGGTTTAGTAAATTCAAAAAAAAAAATTGAAGCTTTATTATGTTATCATGACTAGTTTTCCAATCAAGAAACAGTAAATTGTTTGGTCTGGACGATGTTGATGGCGTCTGGTGATGGATTGGGAGTATATGTGTTGGAGAGCAAAGGAGGAGCAATAGCATGTATAACGCTTTCTCTGCTCTGCTTAGGCACTTGGCCTGCTTTGTTGGCTCTTCTTGAACGACGTGGCCGTCTCCCACAACATACTTACCTCGATTACTCAATCACTAACTTCTTAGCTGCAATCTTCATAGCCTTTGTGTTTGGTCAATTAGGTCAAAGTACACCAGTAGCACCAAGTTTCATAACCCAACTCACTCAGGTTAAACACTATGACCTTTCTAACCTTCTCTGGTACTATATTCAGATTGGTTTAGTTAGATCTGTGTGTCCTCCTGCTACAGATTCAGGATAACTGGCCCTCGGTGTTGTTTGCATTGGCGGGTGGGGTTGGTTTAAGTATAGGGAACCTAGCTACTCAGTATGCTCTAGCTTTTGTTGGTCTGTCTGTTACAGAAGTCACATCAGCGAGCATCACCGTTGTTATAGGTCTGCAAGCACCACTTAGCAATGCTTTTATTTTTGCAGCAGAAATATATATATAGCTGGCTGACATGCATATTGTGAATGTAGGCACGAGTGTCAATTACTTTCTTGACAACAAGTTAAACCGAGCAGATGTTCTTTTCTCTGGTGTTGGATGCTTCTTGGTAGCTGTTTGTCTTGGCTCTGCTGTTCACTCTTCTAACTCTACTGATGTAGTAGCCAAACTTGGAAACTTCTCAGGGGGTTGTAAAACTGTGAACCAAGAAGAGTCTCAGAGACTATTTGGAGGTGAATTTTTTGAAGTTCTTAATAGTCTGATAGTGTTAAGAAAGATCACTCACTTCACTTCTTTGTTTGTTAAGTAGAACAAGAAGAGGAGATGAAGAATGTAAAAGAAGGAACAGCAGCTTTTCTTATAGCACTTGAGAACAAAAGAGCAATCAAAGTTAGGCTCTCTTTTCCACTGAGTTATGTGTGTTCTCATGAGTTTTGAGGCAAGAATGCATTTCTCTATTGGATTCAGGTGCTTGGAAAGAGCATGATTATTGGTCTATCAATAACCTTCTTCGCTGGCCTTTGTTTCTCACTCTTCTCACCACTCTTCAACCTTGCAACAAACGATCAATGGCACACTCTAGAACCAGGCGTTCCCAAGTTGATTGTCTACACAGCTTTCTTCTACTTCTCACTATCCTGCTTCTTAATCGCCATCGCTCTCAACGTGACTTTTCTCTACAAACCCATCCTAGACTCACCAGGATCTTCCTTTAAGGAGTACTTAAATGACTGGAACGGAAGAGGTTGGGCTCTTGTGGCTGGATTGGTTTGTGGGTTTGGTAACGGTCTTCAGTTTATGGGTGGACAAGCTGCAGGGTATGCTGCCGCAGATGCTGTTCAGGTAACACACACACACACACTCCATAACTTGTAACTAGACAATTGGTATCGTTGGCTTGATTTGTGTATGATCAATGATGAGTAGGCACTTCCTTTGGTGTCGACATTTTGGGGGATATATCTGTTTGGGGAGTATAAGAGATCGTCTCCTAGAACATACGCTTTGCTTGTTGCAATGCTGATCATGTTCGCTGTAGCTGTGGGGCTTCTAATGGCCTCGGCTGGCCAAAGAGTGACATTAAAGATATGATCATAACTCATAACAGATAGTGTGGTTAACTTCAATTGTACATTTACTATGATCGTTTTTTATATACGGTAACTTGTTTATATAATAAGACTCTTAAAGTAAAAAGTCCAAAAGACTGCAGAAAATTCTATTATTTAAGACCGAATGAAAACTAAGGATGCGATTAAAAAATCAGAAAATAACGCTAGAAGGAGGGGTCGAACCTCCGACCTTGTGGTTAACAGCCACACGCTCTAACCAACTGAGCTATTCCAGCTTTTGTCAATAGTGTAATATTATATTTAGAAGAACAATATTATTACTACTACAAACAAGCAATCTTGAATCATCGTTAAACCCAAGCTCAAACCACCGGTCAGAAAAGAAAATGCCATCTGCTTCGCATTTTTAGTGTTTGTAGAGTTAGAGATTTAGCCAAATGTTGTGAAGATATTAAAACTATATCATTAGACACGGTTTTGTGTTAACATGACTGATGAGTATGAGAGTAAACTAATAAACAACTGTTAACGTTTGATTAAAAAAAAAAAGAAAAACTGTAAACGTATTAGTGTGAAACTGTTTTGGACACATAACTATCTCTCAATTTCAGGGCATCCCCTATTTCCATGTATCTAGTCTTACACAAACTAGAGAACTATAATAGCTTCAAATGATATATTCACACATCCTATATGTTGATCATGGACTAGCTACTAAGCTGTACTTGACATAAAACATATGTTAACTTTTACGTATGATGAGGAAAGAAAGTCAAGTTTTCTGCTAGAAGAAAACTCTTGGTTTTTGCACGATATCCAGGAGTTAAAATCATTTATCATTTAGAACAATAAAAACGTAACGTATTAAAATCTTAACATTTAAACCAAAAAAAAAAAACGTAACGTATTAAAACTTGAATTGAACAAGGGAGAAGAAAACCAGGTTTTGGATAAGAAGATGAGATTCAATGCATTCTAGAACACATATTCTACATTTAGAAAAATCAACCATATATAATCATATTTTTTTCCAACAAGATAATATAGGTGATGAAGATATTACGTTTACGTTACAATCAGAATCTCTGTATTCAACTTTCTTCCACTTGTTAACATTTGCAAATACATGGTTAGATGTATATAATAAATTACACTAGTCTGAAAACATGTGAAACAGAGTTGTACAGATGCGACTCAATCCATATATGATCCTTTTCATGAAAACGACTTCCTCTCTATAACAAATTAAATGTTGAGAAAAGAAATTTCAAAGTCTTCAACCAAAAACAGAAGAAAATTCCAAGTCAAGCTTACATGACGACACAGAAGTCAATTTTAAATTGATTTTTTCGCACTAACCTTTTTATTTTATAAAACTAAAAATCCTAATAGAGACATATCTATTGAGACAGAAAAAATGAAGGATGCAATCTCTGTGTTGTGTCTTGTTCTTTTGGTTTCGGTTTTAGAAGTAGCAGTAGTAGCGAAACCAAACTCTGCAAGCTTCATCAAATGCCTTCACTATCAGACTGGTCCGGAGAATCCAATCACCGATGCCATCTTCACGCCAGATAACACCACAACCTTCCTGTCTTCTTACTTCTCCTACACGAAAAACAAGAGGTACTCTAGCCCTAATCAAACCCTACTAGCCATCGTGGTGGCAGAACATGTATCTCATGTTCAAGCCACGGTGGTCTGTGCAAAGACCAACGGTATACAACTCCGTACCCGAAGTGGCGGTCACGACCTCGAAGCCCTTTCTTACATATCCTCTGTGCCATTTGTCATTCTCGATATGCACAATCTTAGATCAATTTCTGTTGACGTGAGGCGCAAGAAAGCTTGGGTTCAAGCTGGCGCCACCTTGGGAGAGCTCTACGTAAAGATCAAAGACGCAAGCAAAACGCTAGCGTTCCCAGCTGGCGTGTGCCCTACGGTAGGAGCAGGAGGACACATAAGCGGTGGAGGGTACGGTAATCTCATAAGAAAATATGGAATCACTGTGGATCATGTCGTTGATGCTCAATTAGTTGATGTCAAGGGAAAGCTATTGAACCGTGCTACCATGGGAGAAGATCTCTTTTGGGCTATTCGTGGAGGTGGGGGTGCGAGTTTTGGAGTTATACTCTCTTGGAAAATCAACCTCGTGGAGGTTCCAAAGATCTTTACAGTGTTTAGGGTTAACAAAACATTGGAACAAGGAGGCACTGATGTTCTCTACAAGTGGCAGCTTGTCTCCACCAAGTTCCCTGAAGATCTTTTCATGAGAGCATGGCCTCAGGTCGTGAATGGAACAAGAGATGGCGAGAGAACCATCGCGGTTGTGTTCTACGCTCAGTTCTTGGGTCGAGCCGACAAGCTGATGGCGTTACTAAAAAAGAAGTTGCCTGAGTTAGGTCTAAAACGTGAAGATTGTCACGAAATGAGCTGGTTCGAAACGACGTTGTTTTGGGCTGATTACCCTGAAGGTACACCACCGAGCGTTCTTCTAGAAAGGCCTACAAATCCAGGATTCTTCAAAAGCAAATCAGATTACGTTAAGAAACCAATACCTAAAGAAGGGTTCGAGAAGCTTTGGAAGAAAATGTTTGAATTCAGACACACTGTGTGGATGCAAATGAACGCTTACGGTGGAGTGATGGACAGGATTCCGGCCAACGCCACGGCGTATCCTCATCGGAAAGGAAACATGTTCAAGGTTCAATACTCTACGACATGGTTGGACGCAAGCGAAACAGAGACTAGCCTAAGTCTGATGAAGGAGCTATATGAGGTTGCGGAACCGTATGTCTCAAGTAACCCGAGAGAGGCGTTTTTTAATTACAGAGATATTGATATTGGAAGCAATCCTAGTGGTGAGACAGATGTGGATGAAGCTAAGGTATATGGTACCAAATATTTCTTGGGGAATTTGAAGAGATTGATGCAAGTAAAAGCCAAGATTGATCCTGAGAATTTCTTTAAGAACGAGCAGAGTATTCCTCCTGTTCGGTTCATGTAGTATACATGTTATTTTAGGTGAATTCGATCATATGATACTTATCAACAATAATATGTTATGTTCTCAACAAGAAAAAAAACAATAATAAGTTATGTGAGAATTTGTAATATAGCTAATGCAGTTTCAGTTGAATATGTTTCTTTTCCTCCTTCTGTTTCATATTTTTATTTAAATGAAATAAAGACCAAAAAGATTGTTTCAAAACACTGACTATTAACCAACAAAATTACAGAAATAAAACAAAAACATGTTAAAATACTACAATCTTCATTCATACTTTTACAATATTAACAAGGAAATGTATTGATACACCTTCATCAAGACTAAAATACAAATGTTATCGGCATCTTTACTAAAATTCATCGACAAAGGAGTGAGAAATCGCATATCCTTTTTGTGCATGGGAGGGAGCAGGGGTGCACGTACACCCATTATATTTTAGATATCTAAATTTTTGTAGTGGACATGTATGTTGGAAGAGGCTAATTAATTTGCTTATGATGGCCATAGTTTCCTAAGAACATGCTATACACCTTTTTTGCTTCCCCGGGGAGGGGAGGGGAGTCGAAGGTTTACAAGAACTTTTACGGTCTGGTTTGATACCAGGAGCTAGTGAGGGTTTAAGTTGGTTTTTCAAACTCATTTTATACTTACACAAACTCTAAAACAGAGCACACATGTTGTAAAAAAACTTTTTTTTTATTTGAATAAATTTAACATTCTTTCAAAAATAATAATATAGTGTTATATTATACATAATTGGGTAAGGTTTCAAATTATCTGTCTAACGGCTAAATGATAAACCTATAGTCACTCCTTTCTAAAAATATAGGCTTAATATTTAACATATAGAGTTAACGATCGTTTGCGGTCAGAGAGATACTGCACCCACAAAGATAGTCCAAAAACTAGGGAAAAATCATCTCAACAAAGGCTGGAAAAGGTTTACGAGTCAGGAAATCAGAAGTCGACCTCTTCGGAGAATCTAGTGGAAAGAATTTTTGAATACTGTGTGATTGTCTTCGATCATTAAAGAGTAATACTTTAGGCAATTTAGGAATATCACTTTGTTAGTTACCGGATCTGCACTCTCCATTTTCCAATATACTATCCCGTTTTTTTTTTTTTTTTTTGAAACACGATCCAGCTTAATTCTTCAAACAGTTAAGATATTTCGACGGGCATGGATGCCAAATCTGAAGGTTTGTTCGCTATGGTTGTTTACCTAAACAATCAGTATGAACATAAACATAGTGGGTTCTTCGAGTTGTTGTACATTAATGTGTGGTTTCTTTCTTCTGCAAGCCAATGTATATATGTATTTAATGTTGAGAAAAAAAAACTCTGCTATAAGAAAAGTCTATTCCTTCAGTCAAAAAAAAAAAGTCTATTCCACGCTAGGAAAAAAAGGCTGCTTCAAAATTTAACGATAATCTTAGTCATGCAGGCTTAACCTATAAAATTGAATTAAATGAGGGGAAAAAACCGTAATTGGAGAATAAGAGAGGAAAATTCAGTCCATTCTAGATAAAATAATACATTAAAATGTACAAATTTAATCACAACTGATTTTTAATAACATGACAAAATATTGGTTTCTTGAAAATATGAAGTTCACCTTACGTTTACATGAATAAAATCTGAGCATACTCGAAACCTTTTCAGTATATCATAATTTAATATTATATTTATTTGAAGCCAAACCCTAAAGTAGCATCGAGATATATATGTTGATGTGGAATAGGAAACTGCAATAGCAGCCTGTATTTGTTTATTTTTAGCAGCCTGTATTTCAATCCGTGTACAATTGACCCTGAGATAGAGTCCTCCAATACTTAATCACCATAATTTATAGTAAGTTGCGTTACCATTTCAATAAATTTATATATTTCAAAGAAAAAAATCGTACAAGCTATTCAAATTGCACCAACATATTTGAAAAACAAAAAAAAAATCAAAGTAAACCTATATGACAAAAATTCAATTTTAAATGAAAATTTCAACGGATTTCCTTGATAAAAGTTTTCCCTGAAGAAACTTTTATTTTCTATAAATTGAGATCAACGTAAAAGCGTAAGTCATATTACATCAAAACAAAACACAACAAACAAACATATAAAAAAATGAAAGAAGCACTTTCAATATTGTGTCTTGTTCTTCTTGTTTCGGTTTCCGAAGCAGCAATAACGAAACCACATTATGATAACTTCATCAGATGCCTTAGCTCTCGGACTAATGCGGAGAATCCAATCAACGATGCCATCTTCACCGCCAAGAACACCACAGCCTTCTTGTCTTCTTACGTGTCCTACACGAAAAACAAGAGGTTCACAAGCCCTAACTACAAAACACTGATGGCCATTGTCACAGCAAAACATGTATCTCATGTTCAAGCCACGGTGGTCTGCGCAAAGTCCAATGGTATCCAGCTCCGAATCCGAAGCGGAGGACACGACTACGAGGGGCTTTCTTACATGTCCTCTGTGCCATTTGTGATCCTAGATATGTTCAATCTAAGGTCTGTAACCGTTGACGTGTCAAGCAAGAAAGCTTGGGTTCAAGCTGGTGCGACCTTGGGAGAGCTCAACACAAAGATCAACAACGCGAGCAAAACGTTAGCGTTCCCAGCTGGCGTTTGCGCTACCGTGGGAGCTGGAGGACACATCAGCGGTGGTGGATACGGTAACCTCATGAGGAAATACGGAATCACGGTGGATCATGTCGTTGATGCTCAAATAGTAGATGTCAACGGCAAGCTCTTGAATCGTGCCACCATGGGAGAAGATCTCTTCTGGGCCATTCGTGGTGGTGGTGGTGGGAGTTTTGGAGTTATCCTCTCTTGGAAACTCAACCTCGTCGAGGTTCCAAGGATCATGACAGTGTTTAGGGTTAACAAAACATTGGAACAAGGAGGCACTGATGTTCTCTACAAGTGGCAACTCGTCTCAACCAAACTTCCGGAAACTCTTTTCATCAGAGCGATGCCTCAGGTCGTAAATGGAACAAGAAACGGAAAGAGAACCATCGCGGTTGTGTTCTATGCTCAGTTCATGGGTCAAGCTGATGAGCTGATGGCTATAATGAACCAAAGCTTGCCTGAACTAGGGCTAAAACGTGAAGATTGTCAAGAAATGAGCTGGCTTAACACGACCTTGTTTTGGGCTGATTATCCTGCCGGGACACCAACAAGTATCCTCTTAGATAGGCCGTCGAGCCCCGGAGATTTCTTCAAGAGCAAGTCAGACTACGTCAAGAAACCTATCCCTAAAGAAGGTATTGAGAAGCTTTGGGCGGCAATGTTGAAATTCAACCAAGTTGTGTGGATGCAATGGAACCCTTACGGCGGCGTGATGGACCGTATTCCGGCGACCGCCACGGCGTTTCCTCACCGGAAAGGAAACTTGTTCAAGATTCAGTACTTTACTACATGGTTGGACGCAAACAGCACAGAGGCTAGCTTGAATATGATGAGGGAGTTTTACGAGGTTGCGGAACCGTATGTGTCAAGTAACCCGAGAGAGGCGTTCTTTAATTATAGAGACATGGACGTTGGAAACAACCCAAGTGGTCAGACAAACGTTGATGAAGCTAAGATCTATGGTTCGAAATATTTCTTGGGGAACTTGAAGAGGCTGATGGAAGTTAAAGCAAAGTATGATCCTGAGAACTTCTTCAAGAACGAGCAGAGTATTCCTCCTGCTCGTGTAAACTAGTAATGTTCCTCTTTTCATCAAATGTACTTATCAGGTGTAATAAGTTATGTGTGCATGTTTTACCAAAAAAAAAAAAGTTATGTGTGCATGTGTTATAAGACTATATTGTTTTCGTTATTGTTCCATTTGTATTATGATCATTCGGTTGTATTTATTCATTACACAATAAAGAATTTCTCGGAATCGGTACTCTTTGCAGATATTTGGATTGATCGGTTGGTGACAGGGATATTAGAAATTTAGAATAGTAGAAGAAGCCTTTAGACCTAATAAATTTAAAAGACATAAAGTATAGCCGAAGCCTAACCCTGGATTAGAATTAGCCGAAGCCTAACCTGTAATAAATCATACTAAACGAAGTAGTTTTAGCCCTAATCAGCAATGGTTACATGCTTATGTTTTGAAACTACAACAATCTTGTGGGCTTTCTTGAAATGGTTTAACGTTTACCATTTGTTTTGTAATGAATGTCAGTGATTAATTAGAACTCAAAATATTTTTGGATAAGTTATACTAGTTCAAGAAACTTTTAACCCAAAGCATTATATATGTTCTTAATTTTTTTGCATACTTTGCTTTCTAGTAATGATCTTAATTACAAAAGCAATCCTATACGTTAAACCAATTCTACTGAAAAAAATCAAAATTGTTTACAGAACATTATTTTAATGTTTGGGTATCACACAAAACAGTATATGTTCACAAAGAAAGCATAATGGTTAACGTTTGGGTATAGAAAATTCGTATATGTTTATTAAACAGGTTAAACATAATGATTTGGGGTTTCCTGAATTGGTTAAACGTATACGATTGCTTTTAAACCCAGTCACTATGTCGACAGAAAAACCACATGAAGGCTTTTTGACAAAGATCAGCCTCTCTTACAGCAGGACCAAATCGACTAATTTTTTTAATGGAATATTTTGTTTTTTTTTTTTGTTTTGATAAAAAACCTTGTATGAAAATTTGACAGATTTTCAAAAAACTGCCATTGGAAAATGGTCAGAAATATTGACCGATTTTAATCCATCGGATTTTCCTTTGATTTTCCAATAAAATTTCCAACAAAAATACCTTAAAAATTAAGATTATAGTTTTGACGTATTAATCTATATTATTATATAAGAAGTAAACTTGCTTAGTTGTCAACTTCTCATTGATTTTAGGTAAATTTGTTTTTTTACTCTATTTAAATAATTTAATATACACTTTATTATTTAATAAAAACGAATTTCTATTAATAATTTAATATATAAATATAACTAAAACGAATTTATATTAATAATTTAATAGTTTTCTAAAATAATATAATCATTATGTATTATGTTGTTATGTTGAAAAATTTAATATACAATTTATTATTTAATAAAAACTAATTTCTATTAATAATTTAATATTTTTCTAAAATAAGATAATCATTATGTATTATGTTGTTATGTTGAAAATATATTTTCCTATTATAAAACTTAAAATTAAGATATAAAAAATATATAATTAATAATTAAATATAAATCATCAAAACAATTATTTGAAAAGTGAATTTGTTGATTTGTCTCCATGAACCTAGGTAATTTTGATCATTTATCAGAATTGCTATAATTTTGTTTATTATTGATTATATAATTAAAACTAAATTATATTAATAATATGATATTTTAGAAAATAAGTTAATTCTTATCTATTATGATGTTATCTTGAAAAAATATTTTTCTATTGTAAAATTTAAAATTAACATGTAAAAAATCTATAATATTATTTAAGAAGTGAATTCGATGTTTGTTGATTTGTCATATTTTCCATAATTTTAGTTAATTATGATAATTTATCATAATTTCTATATTTTTATATATAATTTATTATATATTTAAAACAAATTTATATTAATAGTATCAGATTTTTATAAAATAAGATACTTCTTATATATTAAGTTGTTGTCTTGAAAATATAATTTTCTGTTAGAAATTTAAAATTAAGATATAAAAAGTTGTAGTTATTCGATAATTGAAATAATATATTTTTAGAAAATAAGGTAATTCTTATGTATTATTTTGTTATCTTGAAAATATATTTTTATATTATATAATTTAAAAGTATAATAGAAAATTATCTATTATTAATTAAATATTAATCATCAGTCAAGAAAAAATATTTAAGAAGTGAATTTACCGATTCATTAAGTTCTCAATGATTTTAGGTAATTTTAATTATATGTCATAATTTATATAATCTTATATAATTCTTATATAATTAAAACAAATTTATCATTTATATTTTTAGAAAATAAATAACTTATGCAATATATATTGTTATCTTGAAAATATGTTTTCTATTATAAAATTTAAAATCAAGATATAAAAATTATAATTATAAATTAAGTAAAATATTTTTATAAATTTATTATTCTGATTTTTAAATTAATAAAATATCAATTCATAAATATTTATAAGAGAATTATGCCCGCAAGTGCGGGCAAAACACCAATTGTATTTAAAATTTGTTCAAAAAAAGTTTTTGACGTATTCTTGGACTTTCCAATAGAACTCCAACAAAATTACTTGAATATTAAGAATATAGTTTTGATGGATTTTCAACGAAAAAAAAAAAAAATCTAAAAATGTGTTAATGTGATAGACGAGTTGAAAATTAGTTGTTATTTATTTTTGTTCGTTGTAAATCTGCCAAAACTACATGACTGAAGATAGATGACTGAAGGTGGTGGTTGAAATTTGAAATTTTTATACTAAGGTTTTGTTATTAATAAATAATGTTTTTCATTTTTTAAGAACTTTGTTTTCGTTTTATTCTTTCATTTATTTGGTTTTCTTTCTATTAATAACTATGTTTACCTTTCATTTGATTTTGAATGATCAAGTTTGATGTTCCTTTCTTATTTTTGAATCAATTTTACTTATGTTTTAGTTACAAAATAGTTACACATTAGGTACTTTAAATCCAAAAATCGATTTTATTTATGTTTTGGTTACAAAGTAGGTACAAATCAAGTATTTTTAAACGAAAGAACCGATTGGGGCCCGAATCCGAAAGTATAACGGGTTGTACTGGTTCTTTAAAGATTTACTAAACCCGACCCGATCCCGATAGAATCCGAACCGATCTAGAACCGAACTTTCAAATAATCCGAATGGGGCTGATTTTGATAAACCCGAAGAACCGAGACCCGATTGGACAAAACCAAAACCCGAATGGGACCCGAATTCCCATGCCTATTACTGCACGATTTAAATCCCCATTGCTGTTGATATAAGGTGATAGCTTGAGATGCAAGATACGCATCACAAACTCCATACACAAGAGACTCTACTCTATCATAGGCTTTTCTTCTGATTAATATAACTAACTTTTTGGCCGACAAAGAAAATAATATCATCGCTATATCTTGGGACTTGGATGAAGGAATACCACAACAACTCAATCTCTATCTCTATAATATTATTTGAGAAGTCAGTTTCTTACGTGTCACGCTCACGTTAACTCTCGCGATGGTTGATTACATAGATACCCTTAATGAATTGTTAGATTTTACAATTATTATTAATTTTTTATTTAGTTTCTTTTTACCTTTTTCCAAATAACATATATAATAAAAAGAAAATATTTCTAAAATTTGAAAACAAATTAAAAAACGAAAATATATGTATATAATATGACTTTATTAAAAAGGAAAGTTCACAAAATAGTAATACCCCCATTAATATATTTATTGCATTTTAAGCACAATATATATTAAGTTATACATAATTTAACTATAATATTTACATATCTAAGACAATAACCAACCGAAATGAAAATAAGAAAATTAATCAAAGTTTATTATATTTAGAATATAATACAGTATAGCTGAATTCAAAAAATAGATATTATCCAATATACCAAATTGATAACCAAACCGACTATTGATCCAAAAAATAAATAAACAGACATTAATATAAATTATACATATAAACTGATTTAAAACTAAAACTAAATATCAATCAATTATTATAAAATTTTAATTTTATGAATATTCATATTCGTACATGTGCACGGGAAAATCATCTAGTTACGTAAAAATTAGACGAGCCAGTTATCAGTTTATCACAATTTGTTTACCCTAAAGGGAAAATTGTTGAACATCGGTTGTGTGTATGATCAAGGGAGATGTCTCTCTCAAAATTCTCTCTCAAAATCAAATACTCTTCCACCAGTAGAAACTTTGCCTCAACCAATCAGGATGGAGATAACCTTCGGAAGGATTTTTTCCTTGCCGCGAAACAAATATTTTTGGAAATTTTCCAAATCCCAGTTCAAGATATTACAGAAATATCGCCAAATATCCCTTTTTCCTTCAAATCTTCAAAGAATAAAGATGTTTGTCTAGGGTTTTCATATCAGCCGCCAAGTTCCTATCATCTTTTACTGACGAGAGAGAAGGTATTTTGGAGTAAAAGTTTGCTTTTTCTTCTTCTAATGGAGGAAGGACTTGCTCAGGTAATGAAAGCGATGTCTTTAGAGGAGGATCTACCGGTGACGTTGACGGAGGAGGAGGATTTCAGTGCTGCTATCCGGAACAGAAGGAGTTTGATAGGAAGACTATTGAACCCTGAATGTCAAAACATGCCGAGAATGCTTCGAACGATGCCGAAGATATGGAAAGTATATGAGCGTGTGAGATGGATAGCTCTCTCCAAAGATAGTTTCTAGTTCATATTCGATCTGGAAACGGATCTACAAACAGTGATGAAACATGGATTTTGGACTTTCGATGATTGGGGAATGGTAATGGATCGATGGGTGGAGTTTCCTCCCGAGGATTTCTTACAAAAAGCTTCAGTGTGGATACGTCTACACAAACTTCCGGTCAACTACCTCACAGTTAAAACCATAAGGACTATTGCAACCCCCATTGGTTATGTGAAGGACATTGAGTTTGACCCGGAAAAATCACATCTTCAGGAATACATACGAGTCAGGGTCATCTTGGATTTGCAACAACCAGTGAG